GTTAATCTAATCAGCCCATTGTCTTTAAAGTGGGCTGGGTAAGTACTAAAAGGAGAGAGAAAGAGAAACAAACAGGCTGAGAGGAAGGTCATGAGGGGAAGGGACAGAGAGGGGGGGTCTGTGGATTGAGAGGATGGGAGGAGAAGCTGGGGAGACAGGGTGAAAGGTTGGACTTCACAGTTCTGGCCAAGAAGCCCATCATTGTGCTGTGTTTTGATCCCAACTCACAAACCATAGAGAGAAGAAAAGAATGCTCATGGAAGCAGGCCCTGCTGGGGCATGGGCCCTGGCAAGTCGTAGTTACTGGTTTTGGGCCTGAAGTATCGAGGAAACAGTGCAGGCTTCTCCTTCAGCAGTGACGTATGAGGAAGCCCTCAGGTCAGCATCAGTTTTTAGCAGCACATCTGGGTTCATCATTGGGATAATCTACCTTCATTCTAGGACAGAATGGGCACTAAAAAGACATATATATATATATATATGTATATATATGTGTATATATATATACATATTTTTAAAGATATGATCACGTTATGGGAATTAAATAAAATAAAAAATGCTACCTAGACTCCAACAAAGGTTGGAAGCTTCACCTCCTCCACTGCGCAAAAAGAGGCCTTCCTTAAGACCAGACCTCAACTTCCCAAAGATCTCCTGCACCAAGGGGCAAGCCTCAGGGCTAGCAAGATCACATTTTACTCCCCAGAGCTGCCATGTAACACCCTTAGAACGACCATTCATTTATTCATTCATTCATTCACCACTTATCCACAAAATTCACTTGAGCAGAATTTTCCTGCGGACACGGAGATGATAAAAAACTGGTAAAGTCTTTGTCTATATGAAGGCTCTAATAAGAGAGGAGAGAAGTAATAAAAGGTAAACGAAAAAATTAGTTTTGGATTTGGATAGCTGTGGTGCACATAATAAGACAATATGATAGTAGAACAATCTGAGGATGGGGAAAGAGCTGATAAACTGAGTGGTCTGGAAAGTTCTAGTGAGAGAGGAAGCCCTTCATGGGTGTAGCCTCCTGCAACAAGGACACGCCTCCTCCCACAAGGACACGCCTCCTCCTGTGTGAAGCAGGGGGATATGGGAATTGATGGGGAAGGACTCCCAGCGAAGAAGGGACTACGAATGAAAAGGCCATGATGAAGGAATGGCCTTGACACTCAGGGACCGAGAGGAGTCTTGTGAGATCATGCGCCTTTGAGCAGGCTAGAGGGAGTAGAAGTTAACAATGTAGGTGAGCATCAGATCACGTGGGGCTTTACAAGCCATGGTCAGGGAGACGGCTCTGTCCTGCAGGTTATGGGAATGATTCGTGGAGGGAACGGCACCATGACTTCTGCTTCAGGAAGGTGATATGGTTGATGGTTCAGAGCAGAGGAACAGCAAGCCAGAGTCACAGAGAAAATAGCAAAGTATCTTCATAATTGAGGCGAATATGGTGATTTTGTGTGAGGGGGTGGCAAGTGAGACAGAGAGAACAAGTCTGAGATGCATTTTCGAACTCTAACCTAATGATCTTGCCTGCAATTTGAAGGAAAGCATCAAGAAACTCAGGAGAACCAAGCCATTTTAACACGCTGAGATTTCAGTGTCCTCTGTAAATGGATTGTCGGAGGATGTTAAGGATTGGGAGTGAGAGAGTACACTGCTGGACACAAAGGAGGTACTTAGTGAACAGCCACATTACCTCTGGTTTTGACCTGAGTTGATCTGTAACTTTCTAGAAGTCCCAGCAGGTTCATTTCAGAATCTTAGTCATTATAAATTCCAACTATTATAAAAATGTATGCGAAGCACAATATGTTCAGGAAAATCTCTTACGCTTCCACCAGTTTAGAATAAGTTAAAATAAATATTGAATGATTAAACTGTAGAATTCAGCCAATAGAAGCTTCTAGACAACATGTAACAGCTGACAAGCATTCACCCTGCGCCTATTTTCAGTGCTTAGTGACTTAACACTTTTTCTAAATGTGATGAATATTTGGAGAAACACACCCTCTGTGGACTGGAGCCACATGTGGGGAACAATCCCACAGGTTTGGTGGTGTGCTTCTGAAATACTTTTCTCCAAATACTTGCAGGATGCTTACACAGAACTACACATCTAACTCTAGCCTCTTAGGGGTATGAGGAGTCCCATCCAGATATGTGAACATGCAGGGACCTCTCCCAGCATCTCAGAGTGGGAGAACTGGGCATGGAATTCACATAAACAAGCACTTGCCCAACTCTTTACCCACTGAAAACCTGCTGGTCTACCAATCCTGGGTTCAGGATAGTTTATTTTACAGGAAACGAAAGAAGGCACGCAGGTACTAAAAATAAGAAGCCAAGGGGTTATGGCAAGAGAAGGGTTCACTCTAATGCTACTACAAAACAGAGGAGAGAGGGCAAGGAAGCAAACAGGGTCTGCAATTAGAGACAGAATTATTTACATTTTTTGGAATCAGCTTATAGATCCAAAGAGGGTATGGCACACCTGGGGCCATTTAGAAATGGGCAAATAATTTCGGTTGTTGCAATAACCACAGAAGTTTAAAATCCAGTAATTTGAGGGATGACTCTATACACAGTCAGAATTGTCCGCTTTATAATGTCAACAGAGCCTCTGCTAGGATCTCTGTTCAAGGTCAAGCACAGAGGGCGTAGTAGGAATATAAGTGTGTGTTTAAGCTGTAACAACATCACAACAACTTTATCTTTGAGATGGGCAACGAAAGCAAAGGAAAATTATAAGAGTGAGAATGTATTTATCTTACAAAGCAGGTGTAAACAAACACTGTCTAAAGTTTGACATTGAAGTATAGTTAAAGTTATAAATTCTAAGAGCCAAAATAAAAACAACTAAAAACTATGAGACGGAGAAGTCCTTATCTTTTCATAGCAGAGACTCAGCAAACACAGTTAAGGTTAATGGAGGAAAACATTGCAAATCTGGAAGGAAACTCCCCAGAAGAAAACAGAAGTATAATTAGAGTTTGCATTCAGGGGTAGAGGACAGTGATAGACACCCCAGCTCTTCACTGTATCCCTTATCTTAAGTAGCTTTCATGTGTATAAACACTTGGAAACATAATATAGACACACATAAGTCCACATGGATATCCACGATATGTAAGCAAGCTTCAATTCCTCTCCACTTACTGCCCTCTCTCCCACTCTGAGGAGCTAGTTCTGCCCAGCAGGAGTCTTCTAGAACTAGGCCAGTTTGAAACATACACCTGGAGGTTTCCGTGTTGAACTTCCATTTGAATCCATCAGCAGATCCTTCCAAGAGCTATAAGAACTCCCCTACCCCTACTGGGCCTACCTCCATTTTCCCACAGTGGCTGGGCATCTTGGTGTTCAGCTTCCAAAGAAGAAAAGGGCAGAACCTCGGGGGCACCCTTATCTGCTAGGAGGCTGTCCCAACTTTGTGGGTATCAGGTAACAGCAGGGACTCTCTGGGAAAGACTGAGCAGATTTCTAAACATTTGCCAGTGGAGGTTACTGGGGAGAGGAGGAGCAGGGGTTCGAAGCCATCATGGCTTGAACTTTGACCCTCCAAACATCAGGTCTGCCAAGTCTGGATGACATTATTTCAAGTAACAATCAGTAGAACCACTTTTATAACTTCCTGAGCAATCTTCCTGTGGGATAGTGGCATTCAATGACTGTATCTCAATCTAATGCATCTCAATCTGCTGTCAAATGTGACTGCCATCTCATGAACAGGATCTGAGATTCATTTATCTTTATATTCCTTGCTTCTAACATACAGAATAAATGATGGTTGAATAAAGGAACAGACATGTGGATGAATGATTAAATACATGTAAGCCAAATAAATAAACAAGATGCTTGTTATATTTTCCCTTAAAAATCAATGGAATTGAATTGAAAGTATCATATACATTCTACGTTCTGGTGCATCCTTGATTCTGTGAAACCGGGATGTGTGTGTGTTTGTGTATGTGTGTTGTGATGACTATTTGTGAGAGTTAAGTGATTGGTAATGGGAAAACAACTTAATTTCTTAAGATATGAGAGGCCTGGGCTTCTCCAGCAGTGCTGGATCGAGGAGAAAGTGCAATAACATTGCAGGTGTCAAATGACATTTATACAAAGAACAATTCATCGAGAACACATCTGGAATTGTCTAGGCAACAAGCTAAAGGATTATCTTGCCCTCCCATGGTTTTAACCTTTCTTGGGGGGATTGGAGTTGGGGTACCTCTTGGATGATGTGATGATCAACTTATTTACCCATCCACTCAACAATATGTACGGAGCTCCCATTGCATGAGATGCATATGGAGGGAAGGACCTTTGCTCACTCTCTTTGGGTCTCTTTCTTACACAGAGAGGACACTTAAGAAAAATGTTAGTTGGCTGACACTTGGAAATAAAACAAATTTTCCAACACTGGTTTCATATCTTAGTTCATGGAATTTATTACATCTGTGAAACCTCCTTGAGTTTATGAATTGGTAAGCTTGGGAGGTTAGCTACTGCCGTTCTTGTGTGTTCTTGATTTATAGGTCTGTTTTTGCATTCTCATTGCTATCAAAATCAGCTGCTGATGGCTCCCTGTGTCAGTCTCTGCGTGGGGTCAGCTGGCTCTAGTGAGTGGCCTCTCCTTATCCTGTGCTCTGCTAAGGCCTTAAGCACTGACCTTAAAGCCACAGGGAAGACCCAGGCACAATGACCTCATCTTTTAAATTTCAGCATTGTTTTTTTTTTGGGGGGGGAGAGGAGAGAGGGAGAAAGGGAGGGAGAGGGAGAAAGAGAGAGGTCTTAGGTGGACATATTTCAGCAAATGCAAAGGAATTGAAGACTTAACCTGCACCTGTCTGGGGGCAGGTTATGTGTGGTGTATGCATTAACGCAGATGTTAATCTGAACAGAAGTATAACACACCATCAGTGGACAGTAACTAAACAGAAATCACTCACATATCAAGCAGCTAAAACTGGACACAGGTAGTGCAGGTTCTACTGTACCTTTGTGGGCATGGGCTTCTTAAAGCTGATTTCAGCTTGCATCCAAACACCCCTCGGGGACTCGAGCACAGACCAGATCTTCTCTTGAACCACGTGGTTTTCTTCAAAGATATAAACCGCCAGGGTGTCGCTCATTTTCAAAAACCCAAAGATGGCATAATGAAAGCGCACACAGTACTGCATGTTTCCTGGTAAGGAGGGACCGTAAAGCCTCCCAATGTAACCAGGCTGGGATGTAAACTTAGTGTTGGCCAGCAGGTAATGCCCTGTGAGGAAAACAAACCACTTAGGGCCACAGCAAGGCAGAGTGAGGAGCACAGACTGACGGGTGGAAAGCGGCCAAAGTGAGGGGGTGGACCAGCAGAGACTACTTCCATAGGCTTTAAACTATAAAAATGCTTTTTCTAATGTTTGTGATTTAAGTAAGCAAAAAAAAAAATCTATAAAATGTCCTTATACCTTGATTGCAAATGAAACATTTTAGAGATTCAAGTAAATCTTATAGTACACAGATTCACATTTATGGTATTAAGAATTATACTTTTTTATAATACAAAAAAGAATGAGTGGGCTTGGAACTACTGTCTGGCTCTCTGGATATCTGGTGCTGCGTCACACTCAGTGGCAGTCACGAGCTCATTCCCAGGCCTTATCTGTAGTGCCTTGTTGGGTGGTGGGAAGGCAGGCTGGCCTGGCATCGTTTGAAATTTCTGTGCCTGGGCAAACTCCACTGTTCTCTTGACCACATATTAAACCTGCCCCTGAAAAACCATGTTTCTAACCAGATGGGCCCTCCTAGGTGCTGAGGCTGTGTTCAATTTCCTTGTTTCTTCTAAATAATACAAGGAAGCTTCTAGCAGCAAAGTTTCCCTTACCACCAACCCTGCTATCCACATAGTCAACTTAAAATGGATCCGTGTTTGCAAAGTCAGGCAGAACAGAACAGTTTCCCCCTTTTTTGGTCCATTCTCAGTGAGTTCTCTTCATGGCACTTCAGTGTTTGACCTACAGTCTAGTTTTCCCAAAAATATTTTTAAAATCTCATCCTTGTGAGGAGAGTCGGGGGCCTGTTCTCCCCCCTGCACAGGTGGGGCATGTGTGACACAGTACCAGCACTGCTGTCTGCAAGCCAGGAAGAAAAGCCTCCCCAGGCCCTGGACTCCAGACTTCCAGCCTCGTGGATGGGACGAAAAGCCCCAGTCTGTGGTTACTTCACTCTGGCAATGGACAAATATGGATGGCCACACAACAGCCCGACCCTTTTGTAACCTAAACATCATCCTTCTCTTCTCTGCTCGAAGCCTTTCAGTGGATTTTTATCTCCTTTATAATTAAACCCCCCAGTGCTCACTCTGGTCTGTCAAACCCATCATTCATTGCCCTCTCTATCTACTCTCCTCCCCGGCTCCCCACAGGCAGCCATGCTGCCCCCTCTACCACACACTTGGTGTGGCCAGCTCTCTCCACACTGAAAGACCTCACAGAAGCTTGTCCTCTGCAGCTTCCCTGAAGAGACCACTCCTAAATCCCCAACCCAAATCAGTTCCTTACTCTATTCTCTCCAGAGCGCTGAAGGCCGTCAGAACAAGCACCCCAAATACGCCACTCTGGCACCTTGATTATTTTGAGCAGAAGGCACTTGAGGACAATCAAGGCAGAAAGAGCTCTCTGCCCTCTCACTTTCTACCAAAAGCAGGCCATAAAACTTCCTATGAGTAAGGCACACATCCTGTTTAGGAAGTCTGTGTAGTAGAGACCAAGACTACACCAAAATGGATCTGTACAAACAAACCCACAACAAAGCCCCTTGTCTTTTATTAGTTTTCTCCATAGATTTCCTAGTCTCTTTCTCACAATTTACCATCCCTCCCTTTCCCCTGCCTCGATACTTTTCACAGCATTATCATTCTTTATTAAAAAAAAAAAAAGATACATAAGCTTCCAGGAATATGCGCTTTTCTAGTCTTCATTTTCCCTGTGAAGGTTCCCATGTACATGTAAAAATATTTTACTAGAATGTTACATTTTTCTCTTGCTAACTTGATTCATGTCTGATTTTCAGCCTCAGCTACAGAAACTAAGAGGAAAGGGGACACGTTTTCTTCCCAGACACCCTTTGCTACCCTTGGAATTATGTTAATTTGTGTATGTTTATCTAGCACTTCCTTTGTTCATTGAAATGGCTCTCAGCCAGGAGAGTAAGGTTCATATCACTATTTTATCCCCTCTGGGTTAATTTGCCAAAGTTTAGAAAAGGCCAAAGCCTACAAATAGGGCCAGTATTTCCACAAATTAAAGCATCTGTAAGAAAACAATGCAAAATTATAGACATAACATTGCAAGGTCCTTTCCAAGACCATCTTGGGGTTCTATGTAAGTGAGCATATCTAGAAATTTAGCTTCCTTAGTTTCACGGCATATTCATTACAGCTCCCAGAATGTAGATAAATAAATAAAACACAAAATTACTTAGCCCCCTGCCTGCCCTCTGCCCCCTTGAGTGTGATTCCTGAGGATGTCATTAAAGCATTTTCAATACTCAAGCAGCACTCAGACCCGGGTTCTGGGATCGATATGCCCACAAAATGTCCACTCAATTTTTTTCCAATAGCTTTTTCCTCACCATGATGTTTATTATTGTGGTAGAACACATAATACAACTTTTCCCACTTTAACAACGTTCATAGTGTTATTTCTTTGGTGATTCACCATGCTTTCATTTCATTAACTCTCAAAGCAAGAGCAACCACCACCATTCTCTAGTTCCGTAACATTTCTATCTCCCCCAAAGTAAACTCCACAGCCATTCCACAGACCGCATCCCTGCTACCAAAACTCCTGCAACCACTAATCTGCCTCTGTCGATATGGATTCCCTTGTAGATTTCATGCAGATGGAATCCAGTTTTTTTTTTAAAGTATTTTATCTGAAATGAAGAGCAAAACAGTTTCCAAATATTTGTCTAATTGACGGACTGGCGAACACTTTGGGTAGCACAGCATCTTCTTGAACGGCAACTTAAAAATGTCCAGTTACCGCCTGGTGTAGCTTCTTCGTTCTCATTCTTTTCTTTTCTTCTTTTTCCCCCATTGCCTTTGCAGAAATGGAGTGAGAATAGCAAGTGGTGTGTGAAAACAAACCCAGGATGTGTGGCCTGACCGACCCCTGACTCACCAGTTCCTGTCGTGTGGTCCCCTGCCCGATACATGTTCAGTTTCACTCTCACCCTGGTCCAACCGGGACCTTCTTTGTCTTGATGAAAGTTGCAGAGGCCTTCCTCAAAATCACAGCTGCTGTCCACAGCGCTGAAAGGAAGCCCTGGGCAATGAGAACCAAAGTTAGAGTCAAGCCGGGACTCTCAGAGGATTCCATTAAACCGTCGCCAGACATGGCTACCTTTGTGCCAGGGAGACCGAGGAAGAGACACAGCAAAATATTTTTATCCAAGTGGCGGCCTGACAGGTTATCATCAAAACAGTGTTTCAACATGACAAGGAAATTGTTCTTTTCCTCCCTAAAAGGAGGGCGGGAAGGAGCTCTGATCACATTGTCTATAAAAATAAAAAAAAGTGCTGGGTTTCAAAAGGGATTTCCTTTGAGAATGAGAAGGCTGTGAGAGTTTACTCAAAGCTTTCAAACCGGCTCCTACAAAATTTAAAAGAAAGAAAAAGGAGAGGATTTTAAGAGACATGTAAGTTCTAAGATGTGTTTTAGAAATAGCATTTTCCAGAGGTAATTCCCCTTGGTTGACTAGTCTCTGCATCAGAGTGGTTATGACTGGCACTAGCTACCAGAGGAAAAGCAGCCATTAGCCCAAACCACACGATTCAGAAGTCACACCAGGCTGATCAGGGGCTGCTACTGGCTTGGCTTTGATGAGTTCTACTGTCATTTATCATTGTTCCAAAGTCTGGCTTTGGCCCAGACTGCCTAGATGGAGTGGAATATGGAAGAATCCTGCTCCTTTGGGAATAATAGTTGGTCCTGTTAACACAGGACTTGGAAACCTCCACAGCTAAGGTTGTTCTCTGGGGTCAGGGGGGTGTGACCACAGCAGTTTGGAATGCTCCGTATGAGCCTAGTATGAATGATGAGATACACTGTTGGGCATTTTAGCGCCAAAGAGATAGAGGGTGTTGTTATGGGAAGTCATCTGTAGAGAAACTTATTCTAGGAACAGCTCAGCTGGCGACACAGGGCTGTTTAGGACAAGACTGTGTTCTCAGTTAATTTTCAAACCAAGAAAGCACTCATGTGGGTGGAAGAACTCGGCCAGAGCGAATGGTCAAAAGAATCATTCAACCAAATGCTACAAGGAACCCAAGATTCAGTTTTGACCCAGAAAAACATACTGTTGTGGTATGTCTTTCTGTACACTGTGAATATGTGTTGCTATGATTGGTTAATAAAGAAGCTGCTCTGACCTATGGTGAGTCAGGTTATAGCCAGGCAGGAAATCCAGGAGAGAGACAGGAAGAGGAAGGGCAGAGTCAAGAGTCACCAGCCAGATGCAGAGGAAGCAAGATGAGAATGTCTAACTGAGAAAAGGTACCAAGCCACATGGCTAAACATAGATAAGAATTATGGGTTAATTTAAGGATAAGAGTTACTCAGTAATAAGCCTGAGCTAATGGCCAAGCTGTTATAATTAATGTAAGCTTTTGAGTGTTTATTTTATACGTAGGCCATAGGACTGCATGGGCTTGGCAGGACTGGAGAAACCTCCCAACTGCAACATATAGCTATAAAAAACACTGTTGGAACAGTTAACATGCTTTGGGAACTAATTGATAACATTGTATCAGTATTAGGTTTCCTGAACTGCCTATTTTATGGTTACATTGCAGATACACCTTGAAACACTTCAATGGATAAAGAAGTACAATGTTATTCAAAGCCTGATAAGGCAAATGCTGGCCCTGCCTAAAGCTATGGGTTAGTAGATCTGAGAGAAGAGTCTGTGGGAGCTCCTCACTGTATTCCTGTATTCCTTCCTATAAATTTCATCTGAGTTTGAAACGCTACAAAAGGAGTTCCATAATCTCTCTCTCTCTCTCTCTCTCTCTCTCTCTCTCTCTCTCTCTCTCTCTCTCTCTCTCTGACTAACAGTGCATTACAGAAAAAGAATGAGAAGAAACTGTCCCCATGTAACTGGAACATGGAACATGGGCATTTCAGGTCACATTCCAGAGCCTGATAGTGGAAAAGGAAATGAGACCTGCGGTGCTCCAGGCTGGTGATTCACCCACATGCTGCTCTGCCTATTTCTGTCAGAACTAGAGCATATCTTTAAGCCCAGGAAACAAAGCCTGCAAACAAATGAACATAATGTCACACACAAAGGTCCTTCAACATCCCTTGAGTATTCTCACATGGATAGTGGAGACCAGAGGAAGCCCCACCATCTCAATTTTTAGCCAACTTCTCTCTACCTGAAAATGAAAAAACAGATGAAAATACAAAATGTACAGCCAGCCATTTAGCTCTGGAAATAGTGAGGCACTCCTAAATGCCTGGCACAGAGATCATCAGGGCAATGAAATTATTCATCAGGAGTGAACCTCAGAGCAGTACCCCTAGCTGGCTGCAAGAGAATCTTAACTCTTTTATTCGGTCTGTAAGAGGGGGTAGAGGTAGTGCTGAATTCAAAAGTTTATAGCAGATTTATTCACAGCTGCCAGAATGTAGACTCAGCCATGATGGTCTTCAGTCGGTGAGTGGGCACATGAGCTGTGGTACATTAAGACAGTGGAATATTATTCAGGGTTAAAGAAATTGTCCATGGAGCTATGAAGAGCCCTGGAAGAAACATAAAGGTACACTATTAAGTGAAGAAAGCCAGTCTGAAAAGGTTGTATACTGTGTGACTCTACAACTGCAAGGCATTCTGGAAAAGGCAAAATTAGGGAGACAGGAAAGATCAGTGCTTGGGGGAGGAAGGAGAGAGGGAGCCTGTTTACACTGTAATGGTGGGCGCATGTCATTACAAATTTGTCCACACTCATGGAACATGCAACCCACAGGGACCCTTAACGTAAATAAACTATGGAGTCTGGGTGACTGTAATATGTATGGGGAGAAGGATATATGCTGTGACTTCTCATTACTTGACCGAACCTCAAAATGCACTAATAAAACACAACTTTAAGCAAGGATCACTTTTCTCCATGGTAACACAGTTTTCTGGTCATGTTACTTTCTTCACTGGATAAATTCTTGGTCTTAGAAGTGATTTGTCTATGGTCTGATAAAGAGAACATTTCAAAGTTGGAAATAACAGACCAAGTCCTTTTTATGCAGACTATTGAGACAGTAACTGAAAGCCAAAGACAGGGACCCCCAGCATACTGCCCAGCATTGAGGTGGGGTAAAGCCTGTGCTCACAGCTTGTTTCAGAAGTTCGGGTCAAGTGAAGATCATAAATTGACATGTTGGATGCATTAGGAAGGAACTGGAGGCAGACACAAGCCATTGAGCATTGGTTGATAGGAAAAAGAAAAGAAAGCAGACTCCTTAAACCAAGTTATCAGAAAGCATCATCATGTAAGCGTTAGTTAGTTACTTGCTGTCTAACATTTGAACTTCTTAGAAATGGAGTCATTTCAGACAACCTCATTAGCTGGAGTGCGCTGCAGCCTGGGAAGAGCAGCTGGAGTGTTTGCCCCTTTTCCTCTGCTCCATGGAGCTCCTGGAGACAAACTTAACACCAGTGCTGTAATCTAAAGACTCCTCAGCCCCTGCAGTAGAGACAAGCACTGGACACAGCGTGGTGAAAGAAGCTACCCTTGGAGCACAGTGCTACCTCCTATGAGGCAGCTTAAAGGCAGCAGAGGCGGTTCAAAGCTGGCAGGGGGAAGAGTGAGTGTGACCTGGCCCTAGACTACAGAACCACAATGACAGAGGGGCGGGGCTTCGGAATAAGTAGCAGGTACACTTTAGGAAACTGAGACAGGAAAATGTCAGCAACTTCATTTACAGCTTAGGCAGCAACTGGAGTCGTTTTCAGATTAGACTAGAACTCTGGGCAGTGGTCAGGTGTTGGTGAATGGTCACTGTTGGCTCATGTGGCCTTCTGAGGAGTATCTATGAGTAACCACGAAGGCCAGGACTCTTGCAGTCTCTGGTCTGGGAGTGGCATGGAGAGAAGTTTGGGCCTGTATATGCCACAACTATTGGTTAAAATATTAAGGCCACTCCACGTAGTTAAAAGGGAGGTTTATTTTGTGGGGTAACTTACAAGTGAAGGGATAGGTAACAGAGTCTGGGAAAGGTGTGGTGCAGTCCGGCGGTGTTCTCTGGAGAACTCTGCTTGGTCTACCTCCAGCGTCCAGGGTCCAGGAACCAAGAGAGCTCCCCCATCCGGATCTCGGGTCTTTGGGGGTCCTCTCTCATCTCCGCCTTGTAGGCGTGACAGTAACCGAAGCCTCAAAGCGGGTGGTATTTCCAGGTCAAAGCTGGAACGGCTACCCACTACACACAACATTTTGGAGTTGGGCATTAAGTTAAGGCTTCTTGAAGTAGACAGGAAGACTTGCTGGGTGTTCTAGGATGTATAGACTAAAAGGCAATAGTGTAGAGTCCCAGGAGTGTCCTAATTTTTTGACATTGTGATACAACATTGTTATCCCAGCACCTCCATGACGGCTCACGACCACCTGGAACTGACAGTTCTGACACCCTCTTCTGGCTACAGTGGTCATGTGTGCATGCACATATATACATGCAGGCAAAACACGGAAGAATAAATAAATCTTTCTAAAAAATTACCAAAGATCACACATCTTATAAGTGTGAGTAAAGGGGTGAAAATCCATTTCCTGGTTCTTGGGCATAATACTAAAATGATGCAATTTAGTGATTTTGAAAAGCAAGTCTGGCATGCACAATGAGGAGTTCTAAAGACCAGTATGGAGCCTTGACTGACCTACTGTATGAAAAAACACACGTGGGTTCCTGCAGGGAAAGGGGCCTTGTGTGAGGATACCATGCACTGAGGAGCTGCTGGCTCTCTGAAGTAACCTCATTGTGCTGGAATCAATATAGTTAGTTCAGAGGTTTAATATTATAGTCATGGTGGGAAGCATGGCAGCATGCAGGCAGACATGGTGCTGGAGAAGATTAGAGTTCTGCAATGGGCCTGGCTTGAGCATTTGAAGCCCCAAAGCTCACCCCAAGTAACACACTTTCTCCAACAAGTCCACACCCACTCCAACAAGGCCACATCTCCTAATAGTGCCAACTCCCCATGACTCTGTGGCGGCCATTTTCACCACAACAAAAAACCCTTAGTTTTTTGTTAGCAAATTAAGTTTCTCTCTAATTTAGGGATAACAGTTTAGCTCAAGTGGAAAATATTAACTTAGTCTACTTGATAGGATATAGCTGAAAGCATATTAGAGACCAGTTCTGTCTTAAGAGAAAGTCAGGCCACAAAGGCCAGCTTCACTAACCCGTTACCCATGCTCCAGACACAGAAAGAGTGCTTGTTAGTAAAATGGGATGGGCACAGTGTCACCCTGGGTGTTGGAAAGAAATGAATTGACTGAGCAGTAAGGTCAGTTGCATTTAACTGTGTCATTGTTTAACAACTGTCATCCTTATTGTAAAATACTTGGTTTATCCATTTTCCAGGAAAGTAGAGAATTCCCTCTCTTTTCAGACATCAAAGTTTTGGAGTGTAATTTGGGCCTGGATAAAATTATATGAGGGTGCACTTTGAAAAAGAAGGTAGTTAAGAGCACATACTGTTTAGCCAAGACCATCTCAGAGATATCTGCTAAATACTAACATTTATAAAAATAAGAACATTATGAATCTTAGAGAGCTAAAAATTAGAGGTTTTATAATTCTACCCAGTAGGTTATGAGGTTTTTTTTTTTTTGGTTTGGTTTGGTTTTTTCTAAATTTAGCTAGCTATTCATTGTATGAACTCAAGGTGTCGTTTAAAAAGATACATTAATTTGGGGTAAATTAAGATTTAACTTTTTCTTTTGATTACTCAGTTGATGAGCTCTTAAAGATAAGGTCAGACCACAGGGGAGGAAATTAAAGACAACCCAGAAGAAGTGCCCGCTCTGCCCACCTGGTGTGACAGGCACATCCCAAATGAGGAAGAATGAGCAGGACCCACCTGTCTGATTTTGGCAGTGAACAGGAGAGAAAGAAATATCATCCAGGGCAACATAGCCTCCTTTGGGACCATTGAAAGCAACTTCAAAAATAACCTGGAAAGGAAAATGACAGGCAGCATATATTTACATACATTCTTCCTCTTACATGGAAGGACTCATGTAATCACTTTCCAATCTGTAACTGTTTGGTCGTCACCCTACTTAACCCACAGCCTCTTTCAGGGAACATAAAATTGCTACATTTGAGGGTTTTCGCCTGCTGAAATGTTATCTATTGTGGTCTAATCCTCAATGTGATGATATTAGGAAGTGGGTCCTTTAAGAAAGTGATTATTAGCTCATGAGGGTGGAGCCCTCTGTTCTCGAGTTTAGTGGTGAGTCCCAAGGAGCTTTCTTCTTGTGGAGACAAAATGGAAGACGCCGTCTATGTACTGGGAAAAGGACCGTTGCCACAGTGGATTGGCCAGCACCTTGCTCTTGGGTTTCTCAGTCTCTAGATTATGAGAGATACATTTCTGACATTTCTAAGTCATTGAGGTGACGGAATTTTGTTGTAGCAGCCCATAATGGACCAAGACAACTGACATTTGTATTTGTTAGTGGCTATATTCCCTGCTCCTCGACTATCAGCTGGCATGCCCAGATATTTCTGACAGAATTCCAGAGTTGATTAGCACCATGTGCTTCATCTAAAAGAAAAAGTCAGTGGAGAAAATAGATTAGGTTTTTCCATTATCTACAGGAAACTAACATGTCTGTCTGTGCCCTTTGCCCCATATGGTACTCCAGATGAGAGTCTGGGCAAAGACACAGTAGTCAGAGATGAGCACTGTGCCTTGGCCTTTCCAGACATGTTCTGACGGATTCACAAAGACCATGGGTCAATGATATCGATCCTTCTACTTTTACTTCCTTATCTTCCACCTACTAACTTTGAACTTCCTGTGCGTGACAATAAGGTATTGGGTGTGATCAGCACAGCCCCAAGTCATGTTAGGAAAACAATCCAGGTGTGCAATCTATGTTGTGTGAGTTGATAACTAAGTCACATCGTGGATCATGGCTTGAAACTTGAATGCACACCAGGGCCAGGAAGGTATAAATACATGAAGTGGGCTTGCTGTGATGCAGACTCTCAAGAGTGGAGGAGGCAAGCCTGTCTAAAGGAGGCAGCTGCTACCCTGCATCCTAATCCCTAGGATCTCAGTTTGTCCCCCCATTGGGCAGTGAGATTTTACAAACGTAATTAAGATGAGGTCATAACTGCACGAGGGTGGGTCTCTATCCCTAATGACTGATGTCCTTATCATCTTTATAAAAGGGAAAATTTTGATGTGTGCATGCCCCCTGCCCCCACCACAGACCAATGACACTGGAACACTGGTAGAGAGAGGGAAAAGATGGCTCACATTGAGCAGAGAGATAAAGAAGCTCTTTCTGACGAGGGTCTGCCAATCACAGTCCACACGCCAGGGTCCTCCACTCAGAAAAGTCTCCTGTGTTTATTTTCCTTTTGAAACGCACTCGAGAATGTGGTGATGACAACGAGTTCACTGATTTCTCCAGTGCCAATTCCTTTTCTTGGCAATTAGCAAGAGCAAACAACACAAATGACAGACTCAGACTGTCATTTGGATCACACGTGTGGATCTAAAGATGCATGTTAAGGGTTAGTGGTGCCCAGTAGTCTGCCTTTTCAAGTGCTGATTGAAAAAACAAACAAATAAAAAAACCCCAAAAAACAAAAAAACTAGCAATGCTTCATTACATAAATGTTGCCTGAAGAGTTTATGTCGGACAAAAGAAGTTGGCAAAGAAAACACTATCAGTGTGTGTGTGTGTGTGTGTGTGTGTGTGTGTGTGTGTGTGTGTGTGTTTGTGCACAGTGCACATGCACGTGCATATATACATGCCTGCCTGAATGTGCTTTAATGTGTGACTCACTTGACTTCAATAGAGGAATATGTCGTGGGGCAGCATTTCTTTTCCTTCTGTGTTCCAAAGTCACAGAAAAATTTCCCCTGGACTGTAGGGGCAAACCAAAATCCGATCAGACTTCGTGACAGGAAATAACATGCATTCTCCAAAGGCACTGTACTCTCTCTGGGCCCGTTTGGAGTGAGAGATCTGAGAGGGACAGGAAGGAGGCGGCCAGCATTGTCAGGCACACCAGCAGCAGACAGAGCACACTGGGAATGGAGACCAAGTTCAGCCTTCTCCAGTTCCGCAGCAGGCTAGCAGATGGCGCCACTGAAAAGCAGCCAGGGGAACAAGCCACTTCTGCGCTTGAAAGGGAACTGGAGAAGACGCAGAGGGAAGTACAGAGTGAAAAGCTGGGGGGTATTAGTAACTTTGGCAACAAAGAGTCTACTTATAGCTAGCTGCAAATGCTCAGCAACCGTGATGCTGCACCCCCAGATCCTTGCGGCCTGGTGGGGGCCTCAGACAGACTGAAACGCTTCCTTCAGTTGTGCATTAGATTTTACTCTAGGAAGTCTCCTAAGCTCGCTGGCATCTACCAGCTGTGTGACCTAGAAAAAAGATGTCAGACTTCTTGGACAGTTCTGTTTTCTGCTTTGTCCTCTGTGAATGTGGGAATGATGGTGTGTATGTACTTTGGAGGGCAGTAAACACTGTCAGTACTTGGAAGTTCTGAAAGACACGCAGCTATCATGCGGATTTAGGTATGTGCTTAAAGAAAGATCTGCAGCAATAAACACTACAATGTCAGTTGTCTTTGTCATTGTGAAGTTGTTTAACTTATTTTTCTTTCTTTGAATTTTCTAATTCTTTTGATCTGGATATTTATCATGTATATAATTATAAAAAGTTGTAACGTAAGAACAAGATTTGACCCAGTGATGGTGGCACTCACCTTTAATTCCAGCACATTAAAGGCAGAGTCAGGCGGATCTCTGTGAGTTCGAGGCCAGCCTGGTCTACAGAGTGAGTTCCAGGACAGACACTACACAGAGAAACCCTGTCTCGAAATACAAAACAAAAGCAAACAAACAAACAAAAACCAAACAAGATTTGTTTCAAATTAAGGCTCTAATGATATGTTTACTTCTGATTCTGATTTTTTTTTTTTTTTTTTTTTTTTTTGGTTTTTCGAGACAGGGTTTCTCTGTGTAGCTTTGCGCCTTTCCTGGAACTCACTTGGTAGTCCAGGCTGGCCTCGAACTCACAGAGATCCGCCTGATTCTGCCTCCCGAGTGCTGGGATTAAAGGCGTGCGCCACCACTGCCCGGCTACTTCTGATTTTATAACAGCTTTTTTGTTGCCAAAAAGAAAGTAATTCTTTTGTTCTAGAAAGACAATTCTCTTAATTAACAGAAACCTTCAAAATTGATCTTAATGAAACAAATAAAGGGAGCCATCTCCCCTTGGGGCACTGGGCGGGTGGTAAGCACCATTAAGGCATTGTTAACGAATCACTGTCAGTGTTCAGAAACAGTCTTCAGGTTTGTATTATAAGCATGCTTTCTGATGTGCATTTTCCTGGAGCTAAGCAAAGGCTGGGCATGGGAATCCAACCCTCCAATTAGTAGCTCTGGGACGTTTTTCTTGCTGCCCGGATTCTTTGAATCAAAGGACAATCAGTTGAGCAACCAGCCAGACTACTCTTGTGCCAGCACCAGCGGGCTTGACTACCTGGAGAAAACTACACAATGATCACAGAAAACTGCCTCGGCTTTTGAAGGCACAGCTTCATCCAGGGCTGTTGGACAGTGTGTCCCAGACATTTTGCTATCACGCCTCTCAGTGAACTCTAGGTGACCTTACTACCATTTCTACCTAGGTGCAACTTCCCTTAGTGGCCTAACAGAGGGGCTTCTGTGATTGGTGCTGAGGAGGCAAGGCTGTGATTGATTTAAATATAAGTCTCCATGGCTGTGGTTGGTGCCAAGAGACAAAGCTGCTACTGGTTCTCTAGCTATAGGCAGGCTGCTCAGGCTCACTTTGGGAGTCGGTCTGGAGACTTTAAGCTGGGAGACCTCCCTTGCTGTTCCAGACCCAATAAAATGCTTCTCTCCAGTCATCTTTTCTTTCTTTCTTTTTTTTTTTTTTTTTTTTTTTGAGACAGGGTTTCTCTGTGTAGCTTTGAGCCTTTCCTGGATCTCACTCTGTAGACCAGGCTGGCCTCGAACTCACAGAGATCCGCCTGATTCTGCCTCCCGAGTGCTGGGATTAAAGGCGTGCGCCACCACTGCCCGGCCAGTCATCTTTTCTTTTACTGAGTGAGGGACATGGAGAAAGAAGCGGCAGCCAGCAGAGTGGTGGCGGGGGCCGGTGGAGCAGTGACTGCTGAGCAGAACGGAGCCTGAGCTGTAAAGTGGGAAGGCATCTGGCTCCTGACAGCTGGAGAAGCAGCATCTAAGCAGCTCAGAGTGGCCGGCAGCAAGAAAAGGGCCACAAAAATAGAGAGACGGTGAGAGAGGAACAAAGGCAGAGACCACCGAAGAGGGATAAAATGCCTCAGGGGCCACAAAAGAGGACACGCAGGATTTGGTCACTGGAAGAGTCCAAGGGTCTCAGAGGCTGGGTCTCAGCTACAGCATTGGGTGTAGGAAAGATTGAGGAACATGACTTCCTAGGCAGACAGGCAAGGGATGTAGGACTCAGGGTCTGGATCCTCGAGGCATGCCCAGGAATTGTAACATTATAAGGCGCTTCCTGCTGCTGCTGCTCCATCTGCCTTCTGCTGCCCGTCTCTGCTGCCCAAATCCAGCACCTGAAGACTTCCTTTTTGCCTACCCAGATTTCCATCTGGGACCCCAGATGACTGGGAACTCTGGGGTGGAGGTTCAGGAAGGAGTCGTTTTCAGGCCCTGCGGGCCCCCTTCCCCCCTTGAACTCTCCATGCTTATAGCACAAGATCAAAGGGAGCATGCAGCAGGAAATTCAGCTCGTAGACTGGTTTCCACACTTGTCCTTAGAAAACTACTTCTGATGGAAAATGAAGATGGTAAGAGAGGAAGGAAGGGGTCCCAGAGGAAGGGAGAGAAGTGAGGAGACTGAGAAGGGAAAAGAGAGGGAAGAAAAGGATTAGGGGGCTGGAGAGATGCCTCCGGAGCTAAGAATGCTTGCTGCACCATCAGGAGGACAGGAGTTTGGATCCCAGCACCCACATAACAAGCCAGGCGCTCCCACAAAAAAAAAAAAAAAAAAAAAAAAAAAAAACACCAGCAACTCCAGCTCCCAGGGATCAACTGGCCTCCTCTGGCCTCCATGAGTGCCAGTGATCTTAACCGCTGGCTGAGGGATCACTCTACCTCCCTCCCCCTAAAAGATTACATTAGAGGTAGATCTGAGGGGTCACTCTACCTCCTGCCCCCTAAAAGATTACAATAGAAGCAGGTACATCAGGAGGAGCCGTGAAAGGGGGATGTTGGTCTGTGGATACAAAATTACAGTCAGACTAAAAAGGTAGAGTTTGGTTCTTATTGCAAGTAGGCCAACTGTAGTTAATAATGATACATTGTACATTTCAAAATACCTAGAAGAAGAATTTAAATGTTGCCACTACCAACAAATAACACATGTTCGAGGTGATACTTGTGCTAGCTATCATGACTTGATTGCCACACATTGTATATATGAATCAAAACATCACACTTTACTATATAAAATGGCACAATTTCCTTTCTTTTTTTACTAAATTAAAGATAAAAATAAAGTCAAGGTATCTATCTTCAAAAGCACGATTGACGTTAAGTAGGAATACACAGTGGAATGACCTCCATGCCTGTGTGTGTAGCATCCCAGCATGCTACCAGGTCAGGGCTCACCTACCTCCATGGGATAAGGAGCACTGAACTCCACCTCTGCAAGGTTCCAGGCGGCATTGCCTGGCCCGTCCACTTTCCAGATCTCCTCATACAGGCCAGCCATATCCCGAGTGTACAGAGAGAAGACATTGTCGTTCCCTTGCTGGAGCTGGTAATAGAACGAGAGGCAGCCAGACATGGGGGCTGTGGTCACCGGGGAGATGAGCTGGGCCACCTCCTGGAAGTGCTTGACGTAAACAGAGTCCACGTACATATAATGGCCTGGAAGTCACACAAACAGAATGTAGGGTAAGACAGACTGGTAAGGTGCAGATGAAATGGTGCCATTATGGACTCACTTTAATATAATCTGTTGGGAGGGGTGAGGAGGAAGGTGGTCATGAGTACATAAATGTCACAGCTGGGAGACGGACGGACGCATGAGTTTATTGCACACTGCAAATGCCAGATGAGAAGCAATTTAAATTTCCTTTACTTTTGATTGAAGTAAATTATCCACACAGGAAAGATGTGTCATCTTCGAAGTGTTTGAATTTTCACAGATGAATACACCACTACATCAGATGTGATCCCTTCCTAAGCCTTCTTTGAGCTATAAGACATCAAGACTGTACTGCCTTTTATATAAAAGGCATGGGGACGACCCTCCGGGACATATTTGCACAACTTATATCAAATGCATACTGTGTGGTTGAGTGGTACTGAGTGCTCACAGGCAGGCCTAGGGTTTGGGAGTCTGAACTTGTGATGACATTGATGCTGGACCCTGGTGACAACAGCACCTGGCAGACCCAGAGCCACTAACCCCCACTAAAGGCTGAAGCAGAAACAATATGGAGACTTGGAAGAGCTTTGATTTGCCATTGAAGAGAACTGACTTTGAATCCCACTTCCTTGGCGAGGTGCTGGGCTTGAGTGGGTTGCTGAATTTGTCTGGGCCTCAATTTCCTGAGCTCTAGAATGAGAATAATGTCACCCTTTGCTAACTGGATGAGATTAGATCCAGGAGTCCCTGGATCTATCAAACTCTGTGAATGCTCGAGTCCTTCATAGGAAATGGACTAGTGTTTGTATGTAACCTATGCACATCTTAGATGCTTTTAAAAGTTTTTATTATATTAGTTTTTGTTTGTGAGCCTAGTCTTTAATGGATAGGTTGCCTTGCCCAGCCTTAATACATGGGGAGGTGCTTTGTCTTACTGCAACTTAATATGCCATGCTTTGTTGATACTCGTGGGAGACCTGCCTTTTCCTAAACAGAAATAGAAATGGAATGGACAGGGGCGGGGACAAAGAGGCAGTGGGGGGAGGAACAGGGAGAAGGGGAGGAAGGGGAAACTGAGGCTGGGATGTAAATAAATAAATACATTTATTTTGAAAAAGTTTTATTTATTTTTCTAGAGACAGAGCCTTGCTGTAGTTCAAGATGGCCTCTAATCCCCAATCCTCTTGCCTCAGGCTCCTGAAGAATTGAATTACAGGCACTCAACACTGTATCTGATGCATGGGGCCTCCATTCCAGAGCTCTGGTGTCCTCTCATAGAAGCCCCAAATCCAGGTTTGTGTGGCAAATCTATCAGATTTTAAGTGATGTAGTTTGCTGACGACAAAATACCCCATTTGAGGTGATTTAAGCAACAGGAATTTATTGTCTCACAGTGCTGGCGACTCTGAGTCTAAAATCATGTCAACAGAGTTGGTTCCCTTGAAGGGATGGAAAGGAAGGATGTGTCCCAGACCTCTCTCCTAGCTTCTGGTGGTCTGTTGACAGTCTCTTAGCATTCCTTGGCTTGTAGCTCAACCTTTATCTTTACATGTCATTCTCCCACTTGTGTTTCTCCCTACATTCAAAGTTGTGGTGATATATTGGACCCTAATAAAATTTGCCTGAAGATCAGAGAGACAAAGGAACAAGCCACTGCCGCGTCTTACCTCTTGGACTCTTCAGCCTGAAAAGCTTCAGTTCCTGTCTCCTCACTCCTTATATACCTTTCTTTGCCCAACCACCACTTCCTTCTTAGTGCTGGGATTAAATTTAGGGGCAGCACACTTCAACATATGATAAATACTCCTTATTGTCATTTTTTGAAAATATTGTGTGCATCAAAGCAACATACCCTTAAGTTGGACCCAAAGAACCTCTGATATGTAAGGAAGACCACTTCTTATTTTACAGTCAAATGCCCCTCCCTCTAATTCAATCCTAGGGTCCAGCCTGCCTCAACAAGAACATCCTGACGGTGGAGAATGCATGTGACCATGAATGACTCTGTTCTAACATAGCCCCATTTACTAAGAATGCGTGGGAGTATAAAAGACAGAGCTGACGTCCTGGATGCCTTTTGTGATGTCATAAGAGCGGAACAGAACCTCACGAGGGGGTCCTGCCAGGAAGAGAGAGCTGTGAGGTTTTCTTTCCTCATACTTCACTGTGGGGGCACAGAGGTGGGTCAGAGTTCTGCCGCGGAACTTGCTGCAGCCACTGAAGCTGGCTTGCCAGTCTCCGCTGCCCCACCTGTGGATTCATGATGGCATTCCTACCCAGGACACACCACTCCACAATGCTCCTAGCCAGAGAACGAGCACTACAGCTGGGCTATTCTGCTGGAGGCCTGGCCTCTCCTGTTTCTCAGGATCTATATCTTACAGTGAAGGTGCTTTTTCATTCATGGAGACCTTATATCTTCTGTGGCTACTAGGTACTCTTGGATCTCCATGAAGTTTGAAAATTTCTAGTACACGACTGCATTGGGATAAAGATGAAGTCATCAAGGCCGGACTTGTTATTTTTGTTTTGTTATTCACTTTGCTTTTAAAATAACTAAGGATAAAGCACGGTCATGGAACCTTAAAACCTCCATGGCTCCTAAATGCACACACCCACTGTAGTAATGAGCTACACCGACAGTTTCTGCCTTAGTTCTTCATAAGCATTTCCCCCCAGCTCTAGCTCAGTGTCTGTTTCTAATGGAACTCAAATGCCAGAGCCAGGAAGAGGGAAATCATTCTGCCCAAGGTGAGATAGATGATTTATCTCCAAAGAGTCTAGAAAGCCCCTAACAGATCACTGAAAACAACCTGTTCCACTCTAGCATTGTGTTATTACTGTGCTGAGCTAGAGAAATTTCTTAGCCACAGCCTCATTACAAACACATCTTCTCAGTTGACAGACATCAGAGGGTCAAGGATAGCTGCTCACCTGCTGTGGGGATACTGTTTTCATCCCTACATTAGTGGTTGAAGTGACTCCTCAACAACTCATGTTTATGGTGCTGAGCCAAGCAAACCACAGTCACATTTCTGGTCCAAAAAAGGACCCAGAAAACAGAATGTGACTTGCCCAAAGTGAGTCAGAGAGGTTGCCAGGAATGCTACCAAGATTGCTGACACCAAGTCTTACATGGAACCACTAGCCTAGACCACAATCAGCTGCCCTTCTTTTCTTCTCTAGCATTCCTTGTTGACACAGTTGGGTACTATTTACTGACAACCTGAATAACATGGAGTTTCTTACCAGAAAAAAAAAAAAAAAGACAGCTTTCCACAAGGTTATCATCTGACTTAAAGGGGCTAGGATGATTCAGAAACCACTGTTCAGGTGTCTGATCCTGGAGGCCAGGCCGGCAGAATGACAAAACCCTGGCTGAGTGCATCTCTGGGGAAATCTGCTCTGAGGAGGACCAGCTGGGGTTAGTGGGAGGTAGCGGGTGGTCATTGTGCTTCTGTCCACAGGAAGGAAGAAGGTAGCTTGGCGGTCTAAGAAACCGTGTCTAGCACCTGGCATTATGGGAGTTTTCCCACCCATCTCAGACCAATCTTATGTGGCTCAGGTTTGCTGAGTTTCTGGTACTCTGGGGAAAGGTGATTTTTATCAGACCATTAGGATCTGGGTACAAGGAAATTCAGTTAGAGATGAACCTACTATAGGTGTATTCTAGGCTAACAGGATTTTATAATCAACCAAATCACTGTAGAGCCTTCAGGCCCAGAGTTAAAACTCTGGCTAGGCATGGTGGTACATCCCAACTTGTAGAGGCCTAGGTAGGAAGATTACAAATTTGAGGCTAGCCTAGGTTATATAGCATACCATGAGACATGCTTTCTCAAAACCAACCAATCAACCAACCAACCAACCAACCAACCAACCAACCAACCAACCAGAAAAACCAATTTAACTAAAAATGAAAGAGTATAAATAGAGACAATGGGTTCCCCATAAGGTTAAGAATCAGGATGTTCATTGGCACTCATCTCTAGCTGTACTGCTTTGCCATACTCAGGAAGTCAGTCTATTAGTAGTCAATGCTTAGTTATACTTAAAAAAATGTGAGGTTTATGCAGGATAAAACACTGTCGAATTCACTAGAAAGATAGCGGTCTGTGGCAATACCAGCTGAAGCTTAGGCCTCCTGTGAAAGGCCTGAGTATCGCCTGCACACTTGCTTCTGAAGAGAGCCTCCCTTCTTTACAGCAGCTCTCCGTATTAGTAAAACCTTTCAGGTAACCTTAGCAGCTCCTTCTTGCTGTCCATTTCCCCATGGATTAGGAAAAGAACTCAGAGACAGTTCCTGAGCATGCATCTTCAACCAGCCTGGCTACCCAGAATTTCCTTAAAGATTGCCCACAGCTTAACCGTGGTGCCAAAGGTAGCCTCTGACTCAGCTAGGATTCATCTCCCTTTGGCCATATTTTTAGAGTTGCTTTGTCTGCTTCCATCTTGCTAGCTACCCAGACAAGCTGCCTCCTGGTACAACTTGGGCTGAAGAAACATGTTCCAGATGGAAATACCCACTGGGCTGCTGCCATGATGAAGAGACAACACTCAAGACAGCAAGTCAACTCGCCTACTTTCCCACATTGCATATCTGATGGGTATATTCAGGAATCCTTAGTTCAAGGGCTGGTGGTTCTTTAATAGAGCCAGACTCCAATCTTTTTATACAGCATTCAAAGATGAAAGGAATGTACATGAACATTGGGTGGGACCTTGTTTGAACATGGATGTGAAATATCCCTTCAGAACTCATGTTGAAGCCTTGGTCCCCAATGTAATGTTCAGAAGTGGAGCATTGGGGAAATAGTGGATCAAGAGAGCTCTGACCTAATCAATGGATTAAGTGACTAGTGGATTCATAATTTGATAACATTATTGGGAGGTTGTAGAAACTAGGAGGTGGGGTTTAGTTGGAATAAAAAGGTGACTGGATGTATGCCTGCCTGATGGGGATGTCGTTCTGTATGCTGTGAATATGTGTTGCTCT